TATCCAGGGCCCACGAAGTCACAATGGGCCCCTGTGCTCCTCTCTCTCATGTGCTGCCTCCAGGAGCTCCAAAGCTTCCGGGTGGGCGGCCCAGGCGAGGTCAGCGTGGAAATGGATGCTGCCCCCGGAGTGGACCTCACCAGGCTCCTCAACGATATGCGGGCGCAGTATGAAACCATCGCTGAGCAGAATCGGAAGGACGCTGAAGCCTGGTTCATTGAAAAGGTAACACAAACAACAAAGCCTTTGATACATCCACAGGAAGGCCTGCGAGCCAGCGTGGCTCCCGAGTCCCGTGGCTGTCTTTACTGTTGCAGAGCGGGGAGCTCAGGAAGGAGATCAGCACTAACACCGAGCAGCTTCAGACCAGCAAGAGCGAGGTCACCGACCTGCGTCGTGCAGTTCAGAACCTGGAGATCGAGCTGCAGTCCCAGCTTGCCATGGTAGGCTCGTGCGCAAAAAAGATGCAGCATCCTTTGGACTTCCAAAGAAAATGTTGCGTCCAAATTGCATTAGCCCGTTGGCTGCCCTCCTCTTTTCGGTCCCCTCCATCGTTACGTCTCTACCGTTTCCCTCCCACGTGCAGAAGAAATCCCTGGAGGACTCGTTGGCCGAAGCCGAGGGCGATTACTGCGCGCAGCTGTCCCAGGTGCAGCAACTCATCAGCAACCTGGAGGCGCAGCTGCTGCAGGTGCGCGCGGACGCAGAGCGCCAGAACGTGGACCACCAGCGGCTGCTTAATGTCAAGGCCCGCCTGGAGCTGGAGATTGAGACCTACCGCCGCCTGCTGGACGGGGAGGCCCAAGGGTGAGCAGACAGCGGAGGCTGCAAACACTTTCAGGGGCTGACCAAGCGTGGACAGCAGAAATAGAAGGAATGGGGTTTTAGTTGACAGAAAAACAAAAGTCTAGTAAAGATATATCTGGGTTTTACTTTGCAAAGTGTTTTCACCCATTATCTTACTTGATAATTCATAAAATGCTGCAGTGAACAAAGGCACCAGGTCAGAAGCAGATTGTGAGTACTCCTTGTACTACAAAAGTCACTCACTCAATTTGTGATATCAAACACCTGATGATAAGAAGGACACATAGTAGCCATCTGAACCACCTACTCTAACAAGCTTTCCAAAAGTGACCAGTCTGGACTAGCTGGAAGAACCCAGGCCTACAAATTGGGACTTCAAGACCAGTCTGGACAACATAGAAGGACCCCCCCATCTCTACGAAACATTAATAATAATAATGTAGATAAAAACTGGGATGAAGATGTCAGGATTTGAGGATTAAGTTAAAAGAATTAAGTTAACTAAGTTAATTTCTGAGACCAGATCTTCTGTTAAAAGCCAGGCTTCTTCACTTTTTGATGTCATCTCCTTTTTCTTACAGTGATGGTTTGGATGAAAGTTTATTTGTGACAGATTCCAAATCACAAGCACAGTCAATTGATTCCTCTAAAGGTATGCAGAAACCCTAGAATCACCTAGAATGAGTCAGAATCACATTTATTAGTGTAAAACCTGTAAGATCTCATTGAACACTGCATTATTATTAATTTTAAGTATATTTATATTCTGAGCCAAGGAAAAATATTTATGCATTCCTGCACAAAATGAGTAGTCTGTACTGTATTAAAACTTTTGGGGCCCTGGACATGCAGCTCATACCTGTAAACTCATAGCTCTGGGAAACTGAGGTGGGAGGATCACTTGAGGCCAGGAGTTCATGACCTACCTGGCAATAGGGAGACAAAAAATTAAGAAAAAAATAGCTGGGTGTGGTGGTGTATGCCTATGATCTCAGCTACTCTGGAGGCTGAGGCAGGAGGACCACTTGAGCCCAGGAGTTAGAGGTTATAGTGAGCTATGATCATGCCACTGCACTCTGACCTGGGCAACAGAGCAAGACCCTGTCTCTAAGAAAATTAAAATTAAGAGGCCGGGCACGGTGGCTCAAGCCTGTAATCCCAGCACTTTGGGAGGCCAAGGCGGGTGGATCACGAGGTCAAGAGATCGAGACCATCCTGGTCAACATGGTGAAACCC